TAAGTGTTATGTGTCTGAGGTCAAATTTGAACTCAGGTCCTTCTGAATCCAGGACTGGTGCTCTATCCATTGTGCCACCTAGCTGCCCCCAGGACTTTATTTTTGAAAAAAAAAAAAATTGCTACTTTTTTTTTTACATTGCTATCACTTACTAATGACTTCCTATAACATCCAACAGGACTTTTTCTTTTAACAAAGAAGTAAGTTAAGCAAAAACAAATGAACAAAATGGCCTCATGTGATCATTTTGCCTCATTCTGAACAACTAGAGTCTATTGCCTTTCTAGAGGCAGGACACCTTCATCATCAGTCCTCTGAATTCTCCGTTAGTGACTGCGCTGATCAGAATTCTTTGTTCCTCCCTTTACTTGGAGGGTTTGGACGGTGCCTTAGTGTCCTTATGCTTTGTGGGACATAAAACCAGAGCTAGAAGGAGCTCAGAGGACAAGAGTCCAGCCGCCTCCTGTTATACATAAGGAAACGGGTCCAGAGAAGGTAAGACACTTCCCCAAAGTCCAGTCAGGGATTGGAACAGGAAGGAAGGAAACAAAGATTTAAGAGCCAGGCATTGTGCTAAACACTTGACAAATATTATCTCGTTTGATTGATCCTTATAGCAACCCTGGGTGGTAGGTACTATTACGATCCCCATTTTACAGTTGAGGAAACTGAGGCAGACAGAGGTAAAGTGATTTGCCCAGGGTCATCCGGCTTGGAAGTATCTGAGGTTATATTTGAACTCAGGTCTTCCAGAGTCCAGGCCTATCACTCTATCCATTGCAACACCTAGGATTTAAACCCAGGTCATTTTATTCCAAATACAGAATTCTTTCCACTATTCTCTTCAATCTCCTCGAGGTTAATAATGTCCTACCAACATCATTGTGGAATTAGATGGCTTAATTTAGAGATTCACAGGAAAAAAGCTTTTGGTTTAAAAAAAAGGGGGGGAGGGGAGTGATGCATACAAAAAGAATGTAACCTGCTGTGTTCAAACTTCATTTCATATCGTTTTTTTTTTTTTACTTTCTGGACTTGTTTTGCCCTCGATAAACCCACAGTAAAATTTTCAAGGCATTTTAAAATTTGCTTTGTATTTGTTTGTTTTTTTGGGGAGGAGAGGGAGTCATTTTTTAGAAATTGTCTTTCACTTCCACAGAAAGGGTGGTTTTTGTAACCTGGTGGGTAGGCCTTGACTTTACTCACAAGTACCGAAGGATCAAAGAGGCAAACACCTGGGCAGCTGAGAAAGTGGAAGCAGGGCTATTGACTTCCTCGGTTGTTCTTTCCTGGGTTTCTCTTCAATAAACACCTAAAGTTGCAAGATTGGGTCTTAGGACGGGAGGAGAGCCTGCCTTGAAAAACAAAGCCAGATCTGGGGAAGAGAGTATTTAGCACTTTAAAAGGAAACTCTGGGCTTGGTGCTGTTATTTGGCTAAAATGGTAACAGGAACTTTGAATAGAAATTATAAATGGGTTAAAACTACAGTGACCCAGGTCAATCTAACCCCACAGCACTTAGGACCTTTTTTTTGGGGGGGGGGGAGAGCAGGAAGGGGCTTGCTTTATAACCCCCATCCTTAGCACCATGTCTGGTACACAGTAGGAGCTTAATAGAAGCTAGCTGCTTATCTCTGAATGACTCATCTTAGTTATATGTCTGCTAAGGTAGCTGTCATTGACTTATGTCTTACATACTGTATTTGTGCTTACCTATTATATGGGAACATTCTCCAAGGACTGTCTTCTATGTCTCCTTAAACTTCCACCCCTACCTAAAACAGTGCCTCGTGCAGCAAATGTTATGGAATAACAGATGACTTGCAAAATAATGAAAATATGACTCCTCACTTCCTGGGAAGATTTGTGGTAAGGTCTTGCCAGAATGCCTGTTTACTCCTCTGAATTTACCTCTCTATTCTTAGATCACCTCTTCAGGGACGAAAACAACTGTTAGGGTTCACTTTTTAAACGCCATATTAAACTGGCACCAAAATTTTTTCTTGTAAGAAAAATTATTACAGGCATTATTTGGAGAGGAAGGGGAAGTCAGTAGGAATTTCTATTTGACAGGTGGGTAAAAGAGATGCTAAAGAGTTACCATGTAAAAAAAAAAAAGTTAACGTGCTAACTTTAATCATCTCTAACACTTGTGGAAAAATTGCTTACTATTTTATTAGTGCCTTTATATAAAAGAGATGGGTCTGGGAGCCTGAAGTTAGAAACCAAGCATTTATTAAAGGCTTACTATATGCCAGGCACTATGATAAGCCAGCAGAATAGTTTTCAATTGGATCAAAAGCAAATTTGCTTGCATGGAAGAATTTTTACTATTCCATGGTCTCCTGATTCATGACCTTGAGAATTACCCCCACTGGCAAAGACAAATGACCAGGCAACTGACTCCCACCTAGACCAAAAACACATGGTTCAACGTTTTTTCTTTTTAAAAGAAATATCTATTTATATTTAAAATATCTGCTCTTTTTATAGCACTTTAAAGGTTACATGGGGCTGTCTGTGCACTTTTTCATTTTAGCTTCACAATTCTGGTGCAGCTTCTATAAGTTGCTTCCATTTCACAGATGAGAAAACTGAGTATTCTTCAGGTTAAGTGACTTGAGCACAATCACATAGCTGTTGTCAGAGGAGCATATGAACCTCATTCTTCCTGGTTTTCACTGCACTTATCCTTCTTAATTCCAGTGCCTTCCCTCTGTTAATTATTTCTGATTTTTCCTGTATGTAGCTTGTTTTGTACATATTTGTTTGCATGCTGTCTCCACTGTTAATTATAAGGGCAGGGACTATCTTTTGCATCCCCAATGCTTAGAGCAGTGCTTGGCACTTAATGAATGTTGACTGATTGATTGATTTCTACTGCTTCCGTCTCCCCATCTACAAAAGGAGGACAATAATACTTTCACAGTCTACCTCAAAGCACGGTTGTGAGGAAAGGATAACCAAAGCAGTCTAGAAATGTGAATCATCCTTGTTATGGTCTTTTTTCAAAGGGGAAAACTGAGGCACTAAAGGCTTGAAGCTTGTACACTGGATGAAAATGACCTTCCAAACGAAGGCTGGGAAGATGTCCATGCTAACCTGGTCACCAGTTCTGGCCCACTGAAGCTACACTTGTGCAAAGTGAGAATAGTTTCCTCTACTTCTGCAGTGTTTTCTTCTCAACAGCTCTGAGACAGATAATACTGTCATCATCTCCATTTTATAAATGAGGAAATTGAGGTTGATTGATTTGAACGGGATCAGTGATCACATTGGTATAGTTTGAGAAGACTCCTACCCAGGAAGGCTGGAACTTTTTTACTTTGAGAGAGTTGCCTAGAGCACTGAGAAGTTAAATACTTATTATTTAGAGGCAGAACCTGAATCCACAAGTCCCTGAAATACTACATTATTATGAGTGTGACAGACATTAACAAACCTGGACATTTCCTTATGCAGAGAACAGAAAAAGGACTGCATATAAAACTACGAATCTCCCCTATGTACCGCTTGTGCTTTTTCTTGTTTATTTCAAATTTAACATGGCAGTTACAAGTCTGCCTTGCTTGCCTGTGTCCCCTTCTGATCAGTTCTCAGGCAAATTCTAAAAATGTGGTTCTTAAGGATGGAAGAGCATCACCAGTAATGCTTTCAGGTGCCCTTCAGTGGTCCCCAAATCATAGGATACCTATTCTACCCATGTGGTTGAGGCTCAGAACTACACCCTGCCACTGTCCCCAGAATTTCTGTACAATAGACAATTAAAAAGAAAATGAAAAATGTCGAGGAGTCATTAAGGGTCATTCCTTTAAATAGATGGATTCTCCCTGTGGCCTGCAGAGCAGGGGTTTTTAACCTGGAATCTGTGACCTAAAAAAGAAAAAAAAATTTATAATTATTTCAATACAATTGGTTTCCTTTGTAAGCATTAAAAACATTGTTCTGAGAACAGTTCCATAGCCTTCACCAGACTTGCCAAAGCAGTCCAAAACACACCAAAAAAGGTTAAGAATCCCAGCTTAAGGAATGTAGTATGATTTAACATGTGAGGACCTGGGACTATAAGAGCCTGTATTTCTTCTCTCACTGTAGACCAGAACCAGAGCAGGTCATCTGGCTTCTGAGAATCTCAGTTTTCTCACAGATGAACTGCAAGGCTGCCTCAGTGCCACAGATGTCCTGGGTATTGCTTCCATTAAAATCTGGCTTTATTGCATCTTTTCAGAAGAAAGTGCTACAGAAGCCATCACTACTGCTAAACTGTGAGAGTCCATCCTCAGGAGGACACTAACTCCTGGGAGAGCACCCAGCTAGGGTGTCTTTTACCCAGAGACATGCTTTCCCAAGCTCTGTTTCTCACATACTGGATGGACCCTCTGGTCTGTGGCTGTTCTGTTTCAGGATGTCAGCTTCCCAGAGATGAGGAGCTAGACTGTTTGACCAACCCAGTGTTTGGTCTCGCACCTTAGCAGGGTACCTTTGACGGTGACTGGTGGGAGAGGATAGGTCACGGAGTGTCCTGGGAAAATAGTGGCAAGTCTTCTCTCTCCTAGGCTCTTTTTTCTTGAGTGGACCGTGGGAACCCACGGGGAGAGGAATCCCCAGACTTCAGCCATTCCTTGTGTCTGCTGACCTCCGTGGGCCACTTTGGGCCCCAGAGTCAAAAGTTAAGCTTTAGAGTTAGGGATGTGGATTGGCCAGGCAGGGACTGGGGGAGGTGAAGGAAGGAACTGTCCACAGTGGGAGGCTGGGGGACCCAAGTTCACGCCTCCCCCTACAGCCCTCCCTGGACTTGCAGACCAAGCCCCGCCTACGGAAGCGATTATCACCCATCGGCGTCTAGCGGGGCCGGGGGTCAGGGGGCCCTGGCTTTCCCACCCCGGCCTTTGATCTTCCCTCTCCTGACCCTTCCCGCCCCGCCTTTCAGCCCTGGGAACTGTATAATAGTGGAGGGGTGCCCCAGTAACTAGCAGGATGACCACCCCGTCTGCATCGCGATGGCAACAGCGGCGCCCAACCAGCTCCAGTTTGGGGAGAGCCCCCAGTATCCCGCTTACCTGCCCAGCTTTCCTGGGAGTGCTTACCTCCCTCCCCCAAGCCCCGGGGGCGCCCCCTGCCAGCCGCCCCCCTTGGGCTCCGGCCCAGACCTGCGACCGTCGGCGGCGGCAGCCTACGAGGGGTACCCCGGCCCTGGGTCCGGGCCAGCTTCATTGCTTCCCGTCAGCCTGGCGCCTGCAGCGCCGCAGCTCAAGGGTCAGCCAGCCCCGTCCGGGTCTGGGTCGGGGTCGCAGCGCAGGAAGAGAACGTCCTTCAGTCCCGAGCAGCTGCAGCTGCTGGAATTGGTGTTTCGACGGACCATGTACCCGGACATCACCTTGCGGGAACGCCTGGCCACCCTCACCAGGCTTCCTGAGTCCAGGATCCAGGTGATAATGCGCCCGAAGAAGCAAGAGAGGGATAGGGCAGGGAGGGTGGAGAGAACAGGGCACTTAGGGAAAGGGAGAGGGTGCCACCACCTCCGGGAAGCCTTCGCTTCCCTCCACCCCCACCAAGCCAAAGTTACCTGTCCTCCCTCAAACTCCTCCTCGCACGTTTCTCTCCTGTATCCTAATTATTTCTGGATATATCTATTCCTCTCTCTCTCTTAGAGTGTAGACATCTTGAAAGCAGGACCCGTTTTTTTTTTGAAGGGTGGGGGAAAGGAAGAAGTTGTTTCAAACCGATGATTTCTTCAGCGTGCGGGTGCAAATCAGGGACCCACCTGTAACTTCCTAGGGTCATAGATAAAGCGCTGGAAAGGACTTCTGAAGCTATTTAGACCAACCTCGTTTTACACATGAAGAAACTGAGGCCCACTGAAGTGACTTGCTCTGTGTCACTGAGATAGTAAGCGTCAGAAGTATCAAGTCGCCAAGGGTAGGAAGTGCACCACTTTTGGAGTTATCTGTATCCCCAGGGCCTGGCCCAGGTGCCTGGCGTTATTTTCATAAATCCTTGTTGATTGAGGAGGCAGAGAGAGGTCAGATTCACTATGCTGGACTGCCTCTCACACCTTAATGCTTGTTGAACTGAACTGAGTTGTATTTAAACCACTTATATCAATCAGCAGGCCTTCAGTTGCTTGTTTTATGTTTACCACTGATCTAAGAGCTTGGGGTGAGGGTCAGGGTTTTAGTCATGTTAGAAGAGTCTCTAAGAAGGTTTCTCTCAGAGGGATCCGTACCTTTGTTAATAATACTAGAAGGACCAGGCCCCAAGAAATTTGCTTGGTCCTTGGAAGTATTCTTAAATTGATACTTCTTTAAGGTAGGGAAAAGAGAGGCCCAGGATAAGAGAGACCAGAATTTTCTAGTAGCTGCTCCCGGTCCCCTGTGATCAATCAAATAAGCACTAAAGGAGGGCCCACACTGCCAGGCTTTGGGGATAAAAAGCCAAAAGACGAAACAGTCTCTGCCCTCAGGGAGTTTGTGGTGCAGATAGGAAATGCCTATAGAACTATAGTATACATGCAGATTTATACAAAATAGATAAAAAGTGATTTTAAAGAGAAGGATCAGAAAGAACCTCAGGTAAGGTGAAATCTGAGCCGAGCTATGAAGGAAATCAGGGATGTTGAGAGACAGGTGAGGAAGGAGTGCAAAGACATGAACATTAAAGATGGGAGTCTGCCATTTGGAGGGGAGAATAAGGGGAAAGGGAACAGGCATTTATACAGCCCTTACTATTTGCCAGGCATTTTGACAAATATTATCTCATTTGATCCCCATGACCCTGCAGGGTAGGTGTTATTATGATCCCCATTTTACAGCTGAGGAAACGGAGGCAGACAGCAGTTAAGTGACTTTGCCCAGGGTCACACAGCTAGTGACTGTGTGAGGCTGGATTTGAACTTGTATCTTCCTGACTCCAGGGCCAATACTACTATCTGCTATGCCTCCCGAAATCTCCATTGCCCCCTAATTGAGAAATAAAAGGCCAATTTGTCTGTATACATTCAGTGTGTGTGAAGGGGAGCAATGTGCATTCTGACTGGAAAGGTGGGTTGGGACTTCTTCTGAGTGACACACCTGTTAAAAGCTGAGAAGGAAAAAGGTGGGGAAAATGCCGGGGAGAGACCTCTCATTGTTGGGAACTGAATGCATGGTTCTTGTTCTTCACAATGTAATGATTTGGTGTAAATTCCAGGGCTTTGGGAGAGATTTCCAGGCTAGGGCCATATGCAGAATTTTGTATTAGTAAGTTCTAGTAGTGGGAAAGGGTGAGAGTGGCGGGGGGGGGGGGGGGGGGGGGGGGGGGGGGGGCAAAAGGGGGGGGGGGGGGGGGGGGGGGGCGGCACATACAAATGTATGTAAGAATGGGGCATAGGATACTTTTGGTTAGTTCCTGGGATATCTCAAATGGGAAAGTGCTCAGTGAGGGATGGTGGAAAAATCACTTTAATTCACCTGGAATCAAGAGACTGGGTAGGTGACCACAGGCAAATCACTTAATGTCAATTGATCAATTGTCTTTTTAAGCACTTACCAGGTGCCGTGCTGAAAACAAAACAATCTCTATTTGTAATGAACTTATATTCTAATGGGGGAGAAAACAAGTATATATTTTTAAAAGCATAAATATAAATTTAATAAATACATATACACATTTTATTAGGCTAATAAATATATAAAATATACATAGCAGAAATAGAGAATCAAATTAGATAACATATGGACAGTGCTTTGCAAACCTTAAGGTGCTATATAAATGCTATTATCAAGTATAAATTTATAAATTTAATACATATATTATGTATAATGCTCTCTGAGCCTTAGCTTCCTCATTTGTAAAATAAGAAAAATAACATTTACATTATCTCCCTTACAGAATTATTGTATGACAAGTACCTTAGAGCACTATAGAAATGTGAGCTAATTCATAAAATGGCCCTTTGTGATTAGGGCCTTATTCCTGGCCTATCGTATTTTTTCTCAGTTAATTCAATTCAATTGAACAAATATTTCTACTATGTCTAATTTTTCTATTTACCTGTCTGAAATAACTAAGAGCTCAAGATGAAGTAGATTCAATTTAACAAATATTTTCCAGCATCTACATGTGCTATGGATCGCCCTAGTTAATGGGGTTACAAAGATAAAAATGTTCCTGTCCTTAAAGTGTTTACTTAGTGGATGGTTTTGTTTTTTATTTTTGAGGAGGGGTGGGAGCTTGGGGAATGTGCATGCCAATGAATTCTTGCCATGGTGGACACCTTCAGATGCCCAATATTTCCATTAAAGGAATATTTATTAACCGTCTAGTAAGTATAAAGAACACATTGTGAGTCGGTTGAGAGAAAAAGGTGGACCTGACACACTGTGTTTTCAAAGTTGTTGGAAGGACCTCACCTAATGGGGGAGACAGCATTCTAGATGAAACTTTAAAGGAGTGAAGGGAATCCACTTAAAGTAAGGAGGAAAACTAATGCACAGAGAGGACTGGAGAAAGATAGATTACAGTAGGATAAGAATGGGGAATATGATGGAAAGAAAATAAATAGTAAGTTTTGGTTGGAATATGGGGTATGTGTGTGGGGTGAGGGTGAGAAAACTGTATGAAGTAAGGTTGGAAGAGATGTTGGATAAAGCTGGATCATGAAGGGTTTTGAGTGCCAGGCTGAATTTATACTTAATTTGGTAGGCAATTGGGGATCAATAGAGGTTTTTGAGTGATAGGACTAGAAATGTACATTAGGAAGATTTACTGGGGCATCAACGACGTAAAAGATGGATTGGATCAGGAATAGGCTGGAGGCAAGACAGCTAGTTAAGAGAGGACAGAGATGAGATGAAATCCTGAATGCTAAGTAAGGGTACTTAACGGTAGGAGTGAAAAGGTAGGGAAGATATGTTAGGAAGCAGGATCCAGAAGCTAAGGCCTGACCACTTTAAATGGATATGGGGAGTAAGGAAGAAGCCAAAGAGGGCTGAAGTTGTGAACCCATGTGATTGATCACAGTTGACATCAATACAAATAGTAAATGGAAGAGGAGGAGGAGGGGGAGGAGCAAGAGCAGGAGAAGGAGGAAGAGAAGCAGGAAGAAGAGAAGGGACAAGTTTGGGGGAAGGTGATTAGTTGTTTTTTTATGCATCAAGTTTAAGGTGCTGAATGGACCACTAGGGGGGGAATTTCCAACACGATCCAGTTGTAACTGGAGTTCTGGACAAAGTTTAAGAATGGAGATAATAGTTTTGGGGGTCATCTGCATAGCAGTGATAATTGAACCATGGGAAGAACTTCTATCTCCAAAAGAGAAATGATAAAAAGGGCAAATAAGAAGACAGCCTAGGCCAAATTTATTGTTTTTGTTTTAATGCTAATGGTATGTTTATTGTATTTTTATAGAGCTCTGTAAAAAAGCTTGTGGGGAAAAGTTTTATGTTATCTTTAAAGCATCTGCTGAAAAACATGGCATACTTTTACCTCTTCAAGAGTACTTTTTGCATAAATGATCTCACTTCATGCTCAGAATATCTCCATAAGATACAGAAGTACTTATCTGGAAGTTGGACAAAGTGAAGCATAAGAGAGTTAAGTGACATTTCAAATAAGCTGATGGGTGCCCAGCTCTTTCTATTAAATCACAGGGCTTTGTATTGAATTTAATCATTTATTGAGTTATGATCATCCCACAATGGTAGTAAAAACTTAGATCAAATGCAAATTTCTCCTCATGTTCTCCTAGGTCTGGTTCCAGAACAGACGTGCCAAATCCCGTCGGCAGAGAGGAAAGTCCTATAATCCCTCAGCAGGACCAGAGCTTTTTCTCAACCACCCTCCTCTTGGAACCGAAGGGGAGCATTTGGTTCCCCTGCTGCCTCTTGAGGTAGATGTGAACTGCCTGCCTGATCCAAGCAGGGGTGGAGTTGGGCTCTCTGGCCCCGACAGCCAAGGACAGAGTTTTGGAACCTTTTCCCCTGTATCTGAAAACACTGGTTCAAAGCTGGACTTATGGGAGGAACACATCTTATCGACCTTCAGCAACTCTTGACCAAGATCACAGGAAAATCTTGGCCAATGATTTTGGACAGGTACAATGGACTATAACCTTGGATCAAGAGACCTATCAAAAGTTTCATCTCTTCTTTCTAGCCTACACCTTAAGGCCACGGTTCATTTTTCTTAGTTCTTAGTTCAAATTAATGCTCTTAGTTCTCCATCTCATTTGTCTGGGCCCTCTTCTCAACTATTAATTCTTAGTCATGTCTTTGTGTTTTTCTATACTTTAAGACTTCATTTACTCAACCTTTACAAACCAAACTTGCATATCCCAGGCACATCCTTTCTTCTCCTTGCCAAATCTATACTTTTATCTGTTTATACAATATTTCCAATTGGCTCTCTGGAGTTCATTGACTTCTCCTCAAAATAAGTCTTGTTTCATTTGTAGTGAAGCAAAGTAGATAAAAGTGCTGGATTTTAAAAGTCAGCAAAGTCTGGTTTCAAATCCCACCTTTGATAAATAGTCACAATGAGGGTAATAATACCTAGGACTACCTACCTCACAGGGATGTTGTGAGGGTCTAATAAGATCACATATGTAAAGTGCTATGTAAACTTAACATGCTGTTATAAGGATCAGTTAGTATTATTATTGATTTAGCTTCTCCATTGCCATCACTAGCATTCAATCTTACTGTCCCTCAAACTCTCAGTGTCTCTCATCTTTGTATATCACTCCTCCTGGACTATCTGCAAATCTTGCTATTTTCTGGATTTAGTCCCTCCTCTCTCTATTCATAATCACAGCCCTGGTCCAGGCTGAAATCCCCTGGTGCCCTGACCACCTCCTTGCCTCTGGCTTTTCTACTGTTATCTTAATTTGTGTCACTCTGGGCTGCTAAGTCTAAAAAAAAGATAAAGTAAGTGGCTGCCTTGGGTGCACCATGTAGGGCCATCACAATTAGGGACACCTGTTAATAATTTTTAAAAAATATATACACATTTTAAAGGTCAGAAAATTCCACTCCACACAGGTAAAAGCCCTAAAGCAGCTGAAGGACAATACATAGGGAGCCCAATTTTCAAATCTTACCTAGAATCCACAGTAAAGAGTGCCTTATCCCAGCTATGACATTACTTTTTAGAGATATATGGTAGTTCCTACCAAATTAAAGCCTTTGTGGTTTTTCTGTCCTACATGATACAAACAAATATGCTTCCTGCCCCCTATCCACAACCTATCTCCTTAAACTATAGCTATTGTTGAGATACGATTCTTCTCAATGGAGAAACAAAATCACTTTCTCAAAATATGAGTCAAGAATGACCTTCAAACGCTTCTGACATCCTATTTTGCTTCAGCCACCTCAGCACTATCCTTAGCACTTGTGAATATGGATTGTACTTTTGCAGAACTTTGGTTAGGTTACATAATTTGAAAGCTAATGTTTTTTATGCCACAGCACTTAATACAGTGCTTTGCACACAGTGGATACTCAATAAATGCAGATGATGACAAGAAACTTTGATATACACAGCTGTCGGCATGGGGGACGGAGGGTAGACAGACTGGGATGGGGATGACGCCATTAGTATTAACTAACGTAACACAGATTAGTAGTTTGGGGAGTAGCTTTGTTTAAAAGAAAAAAAAAAAGGCATTTCTCCTTTCAAGAAAGCCTCCATAAAGCTATTTTTTTTTAGGTTTGTTCCTCCCAAATTAATAACTACTGATATAAGTATAGCACTGTTTATGAACCAGAAACCCAACTGTGTTTATTTTTGAGTTTCTAAAACCCCAAGAATTTAACAAAGTAAACTTTTAAAATCTAACTTATGTCAGTTTGCCTGTAACCCATGTTTTGAATTATAACCATAAGAAGCCATAGAAAGGAACTAGACACACTTGTCATAGTGGTTCCAGGAAAGTGTGGGAAGACTCTGAAACCACTGTTAACGTTTAGGAAGAAATGCTACAAATTTTAGAGTCAGAGTTAGAAGGGACCCCAGAGTTCGCTCAGTTCAAGCCTCACAGCTGAGGCATAAATTCTCTATACAATATATAATATAAATTATTTATTATTCTTTCTCTGCTAGAAGACCTCTATAACATTATACGGTAGACTACTATATTTTGTTTTGTTTGGTTTTTTGCTAGTAAGTGTCAAGTGTCTGAGGCCAGATTTGAACTCAGGCCCTCCTGACTCCAGGACCAGTACTCTATCCACTCTATCACCTAGCTGCCCCTCTTGACTTTATTTTTCCTTAAAACTGTAATAAATTCACATCCTTACAGCCTCTTCCGATTGGCTCTAGAACTGGTATCTGGGTCCAAGCAGAATGACTGACTTTAGTCTTCTATGTGATAAGCTTTCTTACCTGAAGACAACTATCATGTTTACTCCAATTCTTTCATTTAAGGCATCCCCCTTTAACTCATATTGAGGTCTGAGACCTGCCGCCCCAAAGCATCCAGATTACACATCCCAAAATGTGGGATTTCTTTCAGTTTATCAATGTCTTTCCTCAAAGTTGGGCACAGGATTGGAGAGGCTAGTCTAGGTGTGATCTGACCCAAGCAGATCACATTTGGCTATCATCTCCCTCATTCTGTACACTGGGCTTATGTTAACATTCATTCATACTTAGCTTAAAGTTCACCAAAACCTCTTGGTCTTTATCATATCAACTGCTTTCTAGTGATATCTGGGCAGAACCCCAATGCAAGATTTTACATCCATTCCTGTTATGTTTCATCTTGCATACAGCCAAGTGTACCTGATTCTCATGCAAATGAAGGTTTTATTCAAACATTTTGCTGTTGAAATCCAATAATCAAATGCAGTATAAAATGGATAGCACTCTAGGGCAGTTCGGATATGATGACAATGCTTTGAGTTTAGCATCAAATTCAGAGTTCTGAAACATTTAACTAAAATTGACTTCAAGTCCATGTTTAATATGAAATGACACATTTTTCTGCAATTCCAACTTACTTGGCCAGTATTAGTACTGGGTGTGACTATAAAATTAAAATGATGACTAAACAAAAACAATAAAAAATTTATCCATCCAAAAGTAGTCATCTTTGACTTAGTAAGAAGGAGGTTTGTTTGGGTATTTATTGGGGCTAAGTTATCTGTTGTATCAAAATTATCAATAAATTTCTCACCATTTTTTAAATGAGTATACTCTCAAAGGCTGTCATTGCTCAAAACATTCTTCAAACTCCCTTTGGAATCATCTATAGAGCCTATAGAATATTCTTTTGAAAATCTTCAATGGTGGCACATCTTCCTCTTTTGAAAGGGAATTTGGTTTTAGTAAAAAGAAAAAAGCCATTTGGAGTAGGTGAATACAGATGATCAAACTGGCTAATATTCTTTTGAGTTAAACTAAAATGTGACCCTAAAATAATGGATGTTTTTATTTCCTCTGTGTGGCTAATTGACTTTAAAGACAGTTCTAAAAGAGAGTTCTAAAAACACATGGAACAATGATAGCATTACTGGAATCCAACAAGTAGCTTCTCAATGTAACTATGCTGACGGGGACAACACTCTTGAATAGATATGTATTGGTATGTTTGTTAAAAACAGCTTCATTATTTTGAAGATAGGGAAGAACTGCCCTCTTCTAATTTAACCACATATTCAATTGTGCTTAGAGAGTTCTAGGAAGACTTTAAAAAGTACATGGCCAGTCTCAGGCTATGTACCAGGGCAATAACTCAGTTGTTTCTATTGTAAAATATAACACACAGAATCTTATTCACCAACATGTGAAAAATAACTAGCCACAACCAACACTATTAAAGGGCATTAAATTCTTACTTCCAAATGACTTGGATTAATTTTATGGTTTCTCCCCAAAATACTGATTTACTGTTAATGCACAATTTCAAACCTTTTCTATGTCAGGGAATAGTTCTGTTTATTAAATAAGATTTTTAGAAAAATACCAACTTTTATAGGTAAATTTATTTATAATTACAAATGTCATTGAGAATAAAAGATTTATGGATTTCTTAATTAACTGAATAGTTTAGCTAAATATATACTCTGCCCTAAAGTTTTGCAGTGGCACCATACCAACAAGGAATACAGAAGCATTTTTTTTAAACTATACAAAATTTTCAAATTGAAAATAACCTTGTTTAAATTTTCTTTATACATTAACATACAAAAAGTCTCATTTTATGAGACATCTAAAGGAATCAAAACCACTTCTACAACTATTTCCTAAATTCCAAATCTGGAAAAAAATTATTACACTGAAACTTTACAATACCCTATATTAAACAAAAAGAAAATCCAAATACATACTTTTTACAAGATTAACATTCCAGAATAGCCTAGGAAAGTTTTTCCTTTTTTAAAACTTTTTTCCCTCTATGTTTCATAGCACTGGTTATTTTTGTTTTCTTTATAAAAGTCTTTATATAAGTTGTATACTATTAGATTATAACCAGTTATCTAAATTTAAAAGTTGTGCAAACAAACAAAAATATGAAAATAGTGTGTTACCAGTCATTCTTATAAATTCCAAAACAAAAGCACCTTTTGCCCTGAACTGAAGGGAAAAAACATGCCAAATCCGCTTGTTGGGACTTGGCATTCTGCAGTACGCTTTTTCTGCTCCTTCATTTTCCTTCAACAGACAAAAGACAAAAGGCTTCTTTCATAAATTATGATAAATTAACACATTTCAAAAGCTATTAACTGATCTATAGAACTACACCACACTCTCAAGCATACATCATGTCCAATTTTATAGTCCATCTTTTCCATCCATATTCCAGTGGCATCCTTAAAACTAGGAATTCACACACCTCATTTGATCATCTTTTGAAGACCGAAATATGGCAACCAACTAGAACAACTAAAGTTGTAGTTTTCTAGATGAAGCAATTGCCATCCATTTAGCCACTGATTTGCACCAAGATCCTTTCTTCTCATTTTTCCACTGTGAGCTGTCTGCATGAGTTGTGTTACATTCGTTCATATTTTAAAAATGGTTTATATAGTCTTTGTTGAAGTTATATTAAAATATATTCAGATATTTTCAGTTTAAAACAATACTTGCTAATAAACATATGTAACTTAAGCAAAGCTCTTGTACTTGTAAAATAAACAATAAAATAAATATAATGCTGGTCAGTAATGCTGGTTTATGAAGCAGCACGGTATTTTTAAAATGCCTTTTCTGGGAGAGTCTTTCTTCTCATTTACCAGCAGATAGGTTATTTGGTGTTGAAAGCCTGTATAATGAAGCAAGATTTTCCAAAACTATGTCTCGTTCATTTGGAATAATTAAACTTTCTTTTCAGTCTCTGTTGGTGTTATTAGCTGCAAAGGCATGTAAGTTTCCCATCTGACTCAGGCCACTCTGAATATGTGCAACATGGATCTCAACATTATTCTGAAAACAACTAATGAAAGGAAAAAAAAAACATAGTTAACTAACCATATTTCAGAATTCAAAGGAATATGTTGGAAAAAAAAAAAGTAAAAAGTCAGAAAAGTTACTTAGGAGTTGGCCAAGAGAATGAGTTGACATGA